ATTTCACCTCTTGCCAAATTGACAGAGGCAGAAAGTACAGTATTGATTGCCGCTGTTCACAGGGAGCTGGAATAAGGAACCACTGAATAGGTTCAGGGTTTCAATTTTGCAAAATAAATAAGTTTTAGAGATTGGGTGCACAACAAGGTGAATGTGCTGTAGACCACTGACCTGGTTTTTTGTTTTTTTGTTTTTTGTTCCGGGGATTGAAGATATCAATGATTGATTGCTCTGGGGACGTGGCTTTGACACTGACCACACCCCCAGCCCTTTTTAGTTTTTCTTTTGAGACAGGGTCTCCCTCAGTTGCCCAGGCTGGCCTTGAACTTGCGACTCTCCTGCCTGGGTTCCTGAGCAGCCAGGCAACACCTGGTTTCAGCTTTTGTGATTTTGCTGGTAAGGAAGGTAGTGATTTTTACAAATCAGTGGCAAAGTGCATGATGCTTGTTCCACCCAAGGGGCCACCCTCCAGCCACGTGGCCAGGACGGCAGGCTTCTCAGGGCCCCTAAGTTTCCTACCTGCAAAAACGGGGTAGGTGGTGGCAGCTCTCTCTTCCTGAGCTGTTGCCAGGGGCCACAATAATAACTGTCACAACAGTAACTGTGCCCCAGGGAGGACAGCTAACCCTCCCTGTCATCCCCTGTGGCTGGGCCTGGGTCTGACCCCAGAGCTCCCACCCCCAGCACCTCCCCATTCCCATGAGGACTGAGCCCAGCACCTCGGCCCTGGAGCTGCAGCCAGAAGGGAATAATGACACTTTATAGCTGTGCGTGCTCCAGAGGGTCAGGACTCAGGGGCAGACTCCTCCCAGGCTTTGACTGGTTTTCCTCAACTCTTCCCAGAGCATCTCAAGGGGTCCTGTCCCAGGGGACCTGCTCCTTTTTATGACCCAGCTGTAAACTGGGAATGTCTCCTTCCCCTTGGAAGGGCGATGGTAACCCACCCCGTGGCCACCACTTTCTCCTATAAACAGAAGCACCCCAAGGAAGCCGTTATTGAGGACTTCCAGGACCTTAACGAGGCAGACAGAACCCCCCGGCTTTGGCCACTCTCCACGGCTGCGGCTCGGTGATAAGTCCTGGCCTCCTTGCCCGGTCAGCGTTCAGGAATTCTCTGTTTGCCTGCCTCCTGTCAGCGGAGGAGCCTGTTATCTCTGGAGTGCCCGGGCTGACTAGGAGACCCAGACGTCAGTTATTTAAAGAAGACGGAAGGGTCCTCGCTCCGCTCTGTTAACTGACTCAGAGAGGCCACGGCTCCTAGTTAAGATGATGTCGACTTAAAATACTCTGAAGGAAACACCCAGGAAGCAAAACAGGAGAGGAGCAGAGGGTTGTGGCCTTGAAGGGCAGCTAGGCCGGTGCCGTGCGTGGTGCAGGCCTGTCATCCCAGTGACTCGGGAGGCTGAAGCAGGAGGGTCCCGAAGTAGAGGTCGACTTAGTGAGAATGTTTCAAAATCCGATCAAAAGGGCCGGGGACGTAGCTCGGTGGAAGAGCACCCCTGGTTCAGTAGACATGCTCGGAGCAAGGTCACGAGGACAGATTAGCACCGGGCAATGGAGGCTCTCGGGGTGCACACACAGACGATCACACAGGTCCAGAGAAGGCAGGCTGAGAGCCAGGCTCGGAGGCAAAGGACAGGAGTGAGCTCAGGCGAGCAGGGGAACCCTTAGAACTCAGAGCACGGCACATAGTCCAGGGGAGACGGCAGGGAAACGCCAGACCTGAGGAGGAGGAATGTTCACAAGGAGCAGACCAGCGCTGCCTCAGGAACCAGAGGTTTATTCACCGTCTTAGCTCACTTTTAATTTAATTTATTTTTGGCACTGGGGATTGAACCCGGGGCGCTTAACCACGGAGCCACTTCCCCAGCCCTTTCTATATTTTATCTAGAGACAGGGCCTCGCTAGGTTGCTTATGTCCTTGCTAAGTTGCTGAGAAACTTGTGATCCTCCTGGTTCAGCCTCCCAAGTCACTAGGGTGACAGGCATGGGCCACCAAGGTACCTGGCTTCTAACATTGTTTGAATAAAAAAAACCACATTGCCTCTGCCTATGAAGGTGTTTGGGGACATATTCTGGTGGCGTTTACACCTGTACAAGATGACACAGTGGAGCTGTAAACTAAGAGCACAGCTATCAACATGCAGGCCAACAGGAAGGACACCTGGATGGAGCAGCCCTGGAGGAAGGCCCTGCACACGGGCGGGCGGACTCCCCCTCCCCGCCCAGGTGGGCGCCCACACCCCTCAGGCGTTGGGAGGTGCTCACTGGGTAAAGCCGTGAATGGTCTAGGAGTCTAACTTAGGACCTCAGGACACACACGTTCCAGGTCAGCCCTCAGGCTCCCTCAAGGGTTTGCAGGTTCCTACCTGAGAAACTTAAGAAAACTCACTGAGCGACCGGTCCCAAATACACAAACCCGTTCCGGCGGCCTCCTTTGTATTAGCAAAAGGTGGGCAGCAACTCACAACGTAACACCCAGGTGAGTGCAAATCCCGCCCACCAAGCCCGTGGGACACTCTGGGGACAGCTGTGGGGGTTGTTCTAAGCTCTTTACAGTCCTGAGGGCAAGGCTGCGGGGCGGGTACCCTAAGTGCCCTTCACAGAGAGGAAGCCGAGGCCCGGAGGGACAGGTAGCTTGTTCAGGAGTCCCCAGGGGTGAGTGGCAGGCCTGGGGTCTGCACGAGGCAGGCCCCTCAAGTCTCTGTTCTAACCAATGTCACATTGACCAACCGTATTCTATTTTGTCCAATCCTCTTATTTAAGGAAAAAATGACTCATTTTCTTAAATTACTTTTATAACAGAAATTTGGAGGAGAAATACAACTTCTCCCTTCAAGCCAGGAGGAGATGGGGGGTGCGGGGAGGCAGGTGTCAGCAATGAGCCCAAGATCTGATCCATTGCAAGACTAATGACAAATATTCACATTTCAAAATCACGTCTCTCACCCTGATTGGCAGCAGCTCATGTTTGTGAAACAACTCGTAACTTACAAAGTTCTTCCACCTCACTAACCTAAAACCATCCCACGAGTCGATATTTGGGTTTGTTTCCCAGCACGGGGGGGTGGGGGGGGGGTGGGGGGGGGAGATGAAACCCAGGGGTCCTCGTCCCCTGAGGCACATCCCCAGTCTTTTAAATTTTTATTTTGAAACAGGGCCTCACTAAGTTGCCCAGGCTGGCCTCAAGTTTACAATCCTCCTGCCTCAGCCTCCAGAGTCACTGCAATTTCAGGAGTGTGCCACTGCACCTGGACAAAGTCACCATTTGGATTAACCCCAATTTGCAGACAAGGAGACTGAGGCGCAGGAAGGATAAATGGCTCCGACAGGGTGATGTGCTCATTTGCTAAGACCCAGCTCCATGCTCTGTGGACAGCTTCAAAGGAGTCTGAGACTCCTTCAGCCTCAGGGCCTCAGCAAATGACCAGAACCCGCTGAAGATGGATTGGGCTTGGCCACAATTAACTGGCTCAGTCTGAAGAGGGAACCTCGTAATCTGGATCAGTCAGGGAGGGTCCCCCAGCCTCCTGGGCCAGTCAGGGAGGGTCCCCAGCCTCTAAGATTAGTCAGGGAGGGTCCCCAGCCTCCTGGGCCAGTCAGGGAGGGTCCCCAGCCTCTAAGATTAGTCAGGGAGGGTCCCCAGCCTCCTGGGCCAGTCAGGGAGGGTCCCCAGCCTCTAAGATTAGTCAGGGAGGGTCCCCAGCCTCCTGGGCCAGTCAGGGAGGGTCCCCAGCCTCTAAGATTAGTCAGGGAGGGTCCCCAGCCTCTAAGATTAGTCAGGGAGGGTCCCCAGCCCCCTCTGCCTCCTCGGCCTCCGTCAAGGATCTTCCCAAGGGAGTGTGTGAAGCTCACCTTCTCCCTCCCTCCTACGAAGGCCCCTTCAGACCCACCAGTCTCCAAAGTGTCCTTAGAGGGTTGGCCACACACTCCTGGGAAAGCTGCCCCCAGGGAAGAGCCCGCGGGGACAGGCAGGCCACGGGGGACTGCTCCTTCCCGTCTGCCTTCCTCTTTTTCTTTGGGCAGATCTTCAGGGACTTTATTTCCAACTCTAGCCTCAGGCAACACTTCCCTGAAACAGAGTAGCTGCTCGGTTTCCCTTTTAAAGAAAATTGGTGTCTGATTTTCATGGTTATTTTGAAAGAATTTCTTTCTTTTCTTTTTCCTTTCTTTGGTGATACCAGGGACTTAACTTGGGGACACTTTACCACTTGGCTACACACCTGGCCCTTCTAGAATTTTATTTTGAGGCAGGGCCTTACTACATTGCTGTAGGCTGGACTCGGACTTGGGATCCTCCTGCCTGGAATTGCTCTCAGTGACTTCAGGAGCACATTATTCAAGGCTCAGCTGGGAAGGAGTAGGAGGTGATTTGTAAATAATCCTTGGGTAAAGTTGACCAGAGTGGAACACTAACCTCCCCGGGAGGCCAGGCTTTCAGTGGCCACTGGCCCAGGTGCTGCTGCTTCGGACCAGAGGCCTGCCTGCACTTTCACCCTTCCTACCCGACTTCCAACACTGCAGGAGGAGGGACAGAGCAGGGCAGGTAGGGAGGGGACTCACACACAAACCCTGGGAAGCCTGGCCTGTTAGGCGGTTACAACCAGAACACAATACAGCTGTCAGGTCAGCGGACTGCAAGGCCCCGGGCAGCTGCAGAAGAAAGCCCCCATTAATCCCCTCACCAAGCAGCTGACGCACTTGATCTTCGGGTACGTGCGATACACAGGATCGTTATAAATTAAAACAAAAAAAGAAAAGCACAGCACAGGCTACGGGGGCTTTTTACGGACGACAGGAAACAGAGATCTGGAGAGCTTCTCATTAAAACTCACCCTCCACTGTCAGACTCATTCACAAAAAGAAAGGCTCTCGGTTGGAGGAGGGACTGAGGGCCCCGTCTGGCCTCCGGGCTGCTTTTGATTTGGCATCCATTGTTATTTAAAATAACACGTACACGGAGGGCTGGTTCACCGGGAAAGAGCAGGGGAGGTCCTTACCTGGTGTAGTCTCCCTTGGCTTCCTGGAAAAAAGAAAAAAAAACAGAAACCATCAATGTGTATTTTTTTTAATATTCATTTTTTAGTTGTAGTTGGACACAATACCTCTATTTCACTTATTTACTTATTTATTTATAATGTGGTGCTGAGGATCGAACCCAGGGTCTCGTGTATGCTAGGAAGCGCTCTACCGCGGAGCCTCAACCCCAGCCCCCATCAGTGTGTATTTTAAGCTACTGGGGTGATTTGCTCTTGGTCATTTTTCCATAAAGCCCCCGTGTAGAAGAATGTACACACGGAACCCTTTCCTCATGGCCCCAGAAAGAATGCGGCACTGAGAAGGACACTAGGGTCCAGGAGAAATCCCTCGTTCTGAGCAGAAGGAACAAGTACCTAGGAGGAAGCCCACAGTTATTTCTCCCTTCCTAAGGTCTCCGCGCGGCCAAGGCACAGGTAAATCAACGAGAGTGCTCTTTGTTTTCTCTGAACTTTTAAAGCCAGCCGTAAGCAGGCCTTTGCTTTTCGGCGGGTGCCTTTAAGAATTAAAGGGCTCTTTTACATGACCACAAGAAAATGTACAAAAGTTACCAAATTTAGATGGAAATCGCAGCTGTTCCCACAGCTGCTGCCTCCCAGGTTCAAGCAACTCAAAACTCTCTTCCAGGACTACGACGGTCCTGACGCTCTTCCAGCAGAGAGGCTTCCTCTTTATTTTTCGTTGAGATGCACAGAACCACACCACAGCTCATGCAAACTCTTCTAATGCACGAGGCCCAGCTCACGTTTTTTCATTAGCAAAAAACTAACCGGATTAAAAAGCCATTGGACCCTGGCCCCGTGCAAAAGTTCCAGAGCTGCAGGCAGTTCACGCAGCTGGCAGGGGGCGGCCGTCATTCTTACCTGCAAAACCAGGGCTGCTAACTTGAAGATGGTCTCGCTGTCCACTTCGATCTGCCCCTGTGGGTCCAAGAGGGTGCATCAGTGAGCAGAGGCCACCCCAGGTGGAGGAAGTGCTGTGCGGCTGGGGAGGCTGTCATAGCTCAGCACCTCCAGCCTGGGACCCCAGGCGGAGCATACCATCCCCAGCAGGCGGGGGTGCCAGGACACTGGCGGGAAGGGGGAGCCTCCCTGTGTTTTTACCAGCTGCAAGGAATTTGGGTAACAACATTAATCGGGAAGAAACAATGGTTTTGAGGATGAAAATCCACGCCACTTGTAAATGAATAGTTTTTTTTTTAATCTCTGCAGAGTTATTTTTCAGCTCTGCAGATTTTCCTAGGTTGTTTGTGGTGGGTTCTCCTGAGGGGCGTTTTCTCCCTTTCTAGCACAGCATGATTATTTCAGTATATGCACACAACGCAAAAGTACTAAAGCATGAACTCAGTTCTGCGACAGGGGCACGTTAGTGAGTTGAATTTGATCCATCCTGGGTAAAAGGGAAATGTTTAAAGATCACCTACAGCAAAGGCGGAGGAGACTAAAATTCAGTTGCATTATACTGAAGTTTGATGAACTCTATCATTTTCCCCATCGTTTTATTCTATTTATTTTTGAGGGTACTGAGGACTTCATCCAGGGGTTGGTTGCTTTACCACTGAGCTATGTCCCGAGATCTTTCTTATTTATTTTTGATTTTGAAACAGGGTCTTGCTAAATTGCTCAGATTGGCCTTGAACCTGGGATCCTGGTGCCTGGGCCTCCGGAGTCACTGGGGTCACAAGTGTGGCTACCGCACCCAGCGCCAGGGATGACGGGGTGGCCACTCTGGCGGGCTCCATCTTTTTTATTTTTTCATATTTCATGAACCCCAAGATGACTGAAATTCTGGGCCATGGATAACAAGTGTCCCCCCCACCCCAACCCCAGGAGCTTGGGAGTATCTAAGTGTGAAAGAATGTTTTCTCTAGGAATAGCAGATTTACCTTTATCTGTATCTTTAAATGTTGCAACATGCGTGCATACGATTACCGCATCCCGTAAGATTGCAGCAATGAACTGGCAGAGAGGGACTTCTGTTTTAAAGGTATTTTCTGGCCAGGGGTGGTGGTGCACCCCTGTGATCCCAGCTACTCAGGAAGCTAAGGCAGGAGGATTGAAGATTCAAGGTCAGTCTGCGCAACTTAGTGAGATCCTGACTCAAAACCAAAAGTAAGAAAGGTAGTTCAGTGGCAGGGGGTCCCTGGGTTCCATCCCCACTTTAGGGTGTTTTGTGGGCTTTCAAACCCATGCACAAAAACACATTTAACACATGCACACACACCCCCAGGCCCCTCTTTGCCTAAGTCGGATTTACTTGGTATTGAAAATGTGTAGTGCTCAGCAACGTGGAACCGGGGCCCCGTGTGGCCTTGCTCTCTTGCTCCCTTCCCCCGACCCGTTGGATCTGAGTGGGAATTGCCGCTAGTGACCCCAGGTCACCCCTGGGAATAATCCGGCGGTGGGGGAGCAGAGGTTGGTGGTCTTTGCTCAGGGTCCCAAGTGATGTGCTGAGGATGTCCACCCAGCAAACTAGTGAAACTTCCTATAAAAACCACTGAATCAAACAAGAACCCACAGGCACCACAGCGACAAGAGTGGCCATTACTCGAGTTTCCCTTAGTTTACAAAATGAGAACAAATGAACTTCCCCCTCCACCCGGAGGCCTGCCTTCCCAAGCCAGGAGGGAGGAGATGTGTTTCAAAGTTCTTCTTTTTCTTGCTTCAAAAGCTGACAGAGCCTCAGCCTTGGAATTCAAAGTGCGCCTATAATCTCTAGAAACAGATCATAAAATCAAAGAGAAGCCAGACGATCGAGAGATTGATCCTAGGACTCCGTGGCCCTCTGTCTTTCAAGCCAGAGACAGCGGGTTTTCTAGTCTGGTGAAAGACAAGCAGTGGCTGATCCAACAGGTGAGGTGGATGCTGACGAGATAAAAGTGGAGAAAGGTCAGATTCCTTCAGTTCAAGGACTGAAGAAGGTGGCGGCTAAGAAGGAGACTCAAAACGAGGCTGGAACCCAAAGCTCAGGTCTCATCGGCCTGAATGTCTTAGAGAGAAGAAAAAGTGCATCGTTGGGGTGTTAAAAAACTGAAGACGAATCCAATAAATTGAAAAGGACTGCCCACTGCTTTGCACCTGTGACCCCTGGGCCTTCTCCGAGCCTTAGAGGAGCCGTCTAGACACCAACTAGCTCATCAGACAGATAAGAAGTTCTGAGGCTGCCAAACCACTGTCCACCTTGGAAGGGTCGTTAACTATTTAAAGCTGAAACAGGGAGCCAAACGTGGAAGGTACCAGGCTCAGACAGCTCCAGAGGCGAGGGAGGTGGATACCCAGCTCGTGGGGGCTTCCCCACCTACTCAGGAAGCCCGGGCAGCGTGGTGCAGGGGGACGTGGGGTGGGCAGGGGGACGAGGGCGTGCAGGGGGGGAGGGTGTGCAGGGGGGGAGGGTGTGCAGGGCTGTGGTCTCTCCAGACCTTGTTCCGGGAAGAGAAGAGAAAGCGTGGTTTGGTCAACCCCCCAGTCTTCGAGGTCCTCAGCCTGGCCTCACCCTCTGTTACAACCCTGTCTGGACGTCCAGGCCACACATTCCAAGTCCTGACACCAATCGCCAGCGACACTTGACTGGTCCTTGGAGTTCTCCGGACAACACGACCATCAAGAAGAAGGCAATTTGGGTGGACCTCGGCAGCCCTGGTTGGGTGCGATGTAACTAAGACTTTAAAGCGCTCTTCCTGAGGTGTCCCGGCCTGGAGGGTGACAGCACTTGGTACTGCAGACCTGCCAGGACGGGAGAGATCTTTCACCTCCTGCCGTGGTGACGGAGGTAACCTTATAGGTCCCGGGGCAAGCTAACACCCGAGAGCAGCGTCTCCTTGGAGCAAAGGGAAACGAGATCCTTCAGTGGGTTTCCATGACGGTCATGGTGGACAAAGGGACCCAGAGAGGTGAGTCATGTGGCCAGCTGAATGCACCAGGGTGAGCCCAGACCGCGTCAAGACCCGCTCTGGCCGCTCAGCCAGCCCAGCTGCACCACAGATTCAGCCACCAGCGCTGGGGACAGCTCTCTGAGCATGTCTTTCTTTGTCCCCAATACTAGGGCTTGAGCCCAGGGACGCTCTACCACTGCTGGGTGGGGACAGTTAAGAGTCTAGTTGAAATGCCAAACTGGACAAGGGTGCACTGAGTGAGTGGACACAGCTGCCTGACATGCACTGAGCCTTCCTGAGGTCACTCTGCTGCAGGAGCATGTGGCCTGACAGGGGAAGCTGCCCGCCACCCCCCAGGCGGCCTTCCTGGGCAACAGAAGCCTCCTCCCTCACGGCCTCCTGTTCTCTGGGACCACTAAGCCCCGGGAAGGCTGGGCCATGCCCATCGCACCTGCAGCCCTGCGGCCACACCCGTCAGCTACGAGGGCCAACGCTGCCTGCTTCCCGTCCATGTCAGCCGTCCGAAGTAAAATCCATGAAGGACACAGATGTGTCCTTCAATCTCATCTCCTTGATTCGTCTCCTCTGGCCTCTGAAGTCAGATCTGCAGGGGACCCACTCCCGCACCGGAGGACGCTGTGGGGCCTTGGGACAGGCCGTCTTTCTAGAGCTCGACCCTCATGTGCAGAATGGGACGCGATAAGGTGGACTGCACAGTGACAGGTGTAGGGCACTCACCCCGGGCCCGGCAAAGTCATGTGCGCTATTTTCTGTGGTACTGCTTGTGAGGTCGCTCTAAACTCTGACGTAGAGCTGTCAGTCTCTCTCCAGATGACGACTTGGCTCAAGTTTCATGTAATTCCATGACATTTGTTCACTGTTCATTTTAATATCTAATAGGACAAGTCCTTTGATTTTCCATATGGATATCTGACATTCCTTTCAGTTATTTTCAAATAAATTTTAGAATGATCTTGTCAAGTTTTCAAACCAGATAGGGTAACTGGGACCGCGGCATGCCTGTGTTGAACGTGCTTAACGGAGACCATAGACCTGGAGAGAGCACAGACACCTGCATCAGCACGAACACTCAGAACTTTAAATATCGTCCTTGATAATGGGCCTCTTTTTTACTCTATTACTCATCTGTTGTTCTCATTCTGTGGGATTATTATCATTTTTAGCATATGACGTTGCGTTTAATTTCTTCACTAAAGATAACAGTGGAATAAGTGTTAGATAAGTTGTTTCCATTTTCTTTTTCTTTCTTGTACTTGGATTGAACACAGGGGCATTCCTCCACGGAGCCATATCCCCAGTCATATTCATATATATATATATATATATATATATATATTTTTTTTTTTTTCCCTATTTTGAGGCTGGCCTTGAACTTGTGATCCTCCTGCCTCAGCCTCCAGAGTCACTGCTACTCCAGGAGTGTACCACCATGCCCAGCTAGTTCATTTTCACTTTCCATGGACAAGGTAAAATTGTCTCCAAACAATATTCTGGTGTTCTTTGCAATGCACGAGGTGGGTCTGACGGCGCTGCTAGGCAGAGATGTTTTCCTTAACACATGTCAACCGTGCTCCCTGCTGGGGACACTGTTGGGGACTGTAAGTTGGTTTGGGGCCACCTTTTTTGGCGGGGTCTACCAGAACTTAACATACCTGCGCCTACGGCTCAGCAATCCTGCTCCTAGGTGTGGACCTCCCAGACAGGCGTGCCAGTGTCCACAAGGACCTGTGTGGCAGTGCCACTAAACAGGCAAACTCTGCAAGCAACCCACATGCCCGGGGCTGGGTGAACAGACGGGCACGTGGCACCGTGGGCCAGGACGCGGCAGTGAAGTGAACATTCCCCAGCGACCTCGCACAGCAGAAGGGAGAGTCTCACGGCAGCCTGAGCGAGACGCCAGGCATGAAAAGACACATATGGTGTGACTCCCGGCACAGGGGGGCTGAGTCTGCCAGCACTGGTAACTGCTGGCGAGGGGCATGGTAGTGGGGGTCAATGGCTGCAGGAGAACATGCGAGGGGCTTCCAG